TGAAACTGGAAGCAGTGTACAGCTCAGAATTTAGGAAATATAGTATTTTTTCAAGTGTTGGTTCTAAGGATAAAGGATTAAAGACTGAATAGAAAGAAAAAAGTAACAGATGCAGAGGAATTTACAAAGCAAAGGAACAATCTGCTTATCTTTTAGAAAACAACGTGGCTATTTGCAGATATATACAAGTAACTCTCTTCCTATCTCCACACAAACAGATATGTAATGGGAGTCAAACCACTTGACTTTCATGTGGTTGACCCAGGTTTGATCTCTGGTACCATAAATGAACCCTGCCGGAAGTGATCCCTGTGCATAGAGGCAGAAAAAAGGACCTGAATACAGATAAGTGTGACCACCCCCCACTACCCAAAAAGAAACAAACAATGACACTCCACGCCAAACAAAACCAAAACAAAAGCCTGTTTGTGTATTAGGTTATTGTCAATAGTTATAAAAATGATTAAACTGTAATATATTCATTAAATAGAATTTTTGCAGTGATTAAAAATGATCAGAGAGGACTGGAGTGATAGTATCGTAGATAGAGTGGCTTGCTCACACAGCCAATCCGGGTTCCATCTATGGCTCACATCTGGTCCCTTTGAGCCTGCCACGAGTGATCCCTGAGTACTGTAGAGTCAGAAGTACATTCTGAGAATTACTGGGTGTATCCCGTCTCCAAAAAATGGTCAGAAATATAGTGACTTATGGCTGCATGGGAAAGTGTTTCAAAAAGAAGAAATGCAGGATACCAGATTTACGCAAGTCTTGACTAAAACAACATAAATATATATTACTCCAGGTTATATTTGTGGCTTGTTTAGGAATGAATTTAAAATTATTTATATGGACATATTTGATAAAGAAGCAAAGGGAGGATAAAGGAGACAGGATACAGGGTTTCAGTTGAAATTCATGTAACTCATACAAAAATAAAGTCTGCTAAGCAAATTGTAATGAAAATGATATTTCAATGGGAGGGTTAAATCTATTTAAAAAAACACCCACTCATACCAGGGACAGATATTCTAAGTGCAAGTAATTCTCAGTCATTAGAGGAAGCCAGTGAGATTTCAAATTGCAGCAAATTATAAGCCTAATTCAAATTGCCTTTCCTCATTTAATATAGTTACAACTGAATTTCTATATCAAGGTTAAGTACTCCTAACAATTAGACTGAAGGAGTGATGTCTTCTACCATATTCATGAAAGTGCTCAATTTTAATTCTGCAAATCTTAATTTAGTAAGCTAATAGCTGATTTCAGGATAATTATTTCTAAATTTGCTCAGCTCATCCAGCCACCATACTCTAAACATCTGCACACGAGATCTCATTATTTGGGGACTCATGACTGAAAAGGCCATCGCTGAAAGTGTTTATTAAAATTATACACTGAGTAAATGGGAAATTTTCAAAGTGAAAATAAAAACAGTTTCCTGAGTACTTTACATTATACTTACACGCAAGTATGATGTTAATTATAAGAAATATTCTTATTTAAAATCAAAGCTATATAATTTGAAAGCACTAAAAATAATTTTATTTGCACCAGCTCTTTCAATTTTAATTAATTTGGCACAAATAGCTTCTTTTTGTATCCTTCACTAGAATAGCTCTTGAGTCTTTTTATTTAAAAACTAAAAGACCCCTTTCTACTCAAAATCTAGAGGGGACTTCAAAGAACTTATTTTCCTCGTTCACATCTATCTATACTTTTTTCTAGTAGAAACTAAAGCAAAAAAATTTTATGACACCTTTTACAAAGAATAGATTCACAACAAGTTAAGGTAGGCCATTTCCTTCTTGACAAACCTATATTTTCTAAAACAAATCCAAAGCGCCATATAAGATGGTACAGGAGGTCAGGTGCTTGCCTTGCATGCAGCCAACACAGTTTGGTGTGTGGGACTACTGCACACACCAATTCCTGAGTGCAAAGTCCCCTGAGGACAGAGGCAGGAATAGCCTGAGTACCACTAGATGAGGTTCCCAAGACAACAACAAAAATGTGCAATAAAAGTCAGAGAGAGAGAGAGAGAGAGAGGTGCTGCTTTTATATTTTGAAATGTATTTCATGTATGGCCTCATAATGAATACCTAGATTTTCTTTCTTCCTTGCTTTTTTATTATTAAAAAAAATTTGTCAGCAATACTCAGGGGTTACTCCTGGCTCTGCACTCAGAAATTATTCCTGAGGTGTTTAGGGGACGATCTGGGATTTGGGGGATGGCACCCAGATACCTGTTTCTAAATTCAATTTATTTTGACGTATTACCTGAAGAAAATCCAGCCTCATATAAATCGAAGAAAAGTGTATTTAGATGATTATGATTATCTCTCTGTGATATAAAACCAAAACTTAATAGGAAGAAGTTTCTTAGGTGTTAAATGACAGTGTAGACTTTATTTTTTAATTTTTTTCCATAAAACAGATTTATTTCCATAATAATTAATGTTCATGTCTTCCATAAGTATCTATTAATTTTCAATGTAAATAGGGGATTTTGCCATAATTTGAATCCATGATTTATAAAAATTGTCTACATCCTTTGTTGATCTTTTGACAGTGTAGACTTTAAAGTCAAATCAACTGGGGCCAGAGCGATAGTACAGGGGTAAGATGCATGCCTTGCATGCCTTACACACAGCTGACACATGTTCAATCTCTGGCATTGCATTAGGTTCCTTGAGCACAGAGCCAGGAGTAAGTCTTGAGCACTGTCAGATAGAGCCAGAAACAAAAGAAAACAAACAAAATCAAATCAACAACTTTCCTTAGTCTTCATATTCAAATTCATTAGTTTGTCTTACAGAATACACCAAAACAAACAAAACACTTTGGCTATAGATCTCATCAGGGAAATCTTTAAATATTAGAAAGCAGTGGTGTTGGAGTTGGAGCAATAGTACAGCGGGTAGAGTGTTTGCCTTGAACATGGTTGACCTGATTTCAATTCCCAGCATCCCATATGGTCCCCTGAGCACTACCAGGAGTAATTCCTGAGTGCAAAGCCAGGAGCAACCCTTGTGCATTGCTGGGTTTGACGCCCCTCCCCCCCCCAAAAAAAAGGAAAAGGAAAAAAGCACTGGTGCTCACCAAAGTTGGATAGAAGTTTTCCCAAAAGTCTTATTTTTTACTTGAAAGCTCAAATTTCATATTTGGCAAAGTTATTTTCTTTCATTGTATTTATTTTCAATGCATACCTAGGTTTGGGGTGTAATCAAATTCAAAAAAGGATGTTTTGGCAGATTGGTTCCTTTTGGGGGTGGACTTTTGGGAATCGTGATAGTGCTCAGAGGCCCCATTTGGTGCTGAGGGGCTGTCTCTGAGGCGCTTGTGCTGGGAATTGATCCTGGACTTCTGTGCGCAAAGAAGGCACGCCTTCCCTTTAAGCCATCTCCCCAGACCTCTGTTCCCCACCAACCCCTCCCCATTGCTAACATGCACACCTGCCTAATTAAGCTAAGGCTTCAGCAGTCTTTCCTCATAGCTGTCGAATCATAATTACGAACACCAGGAGTACAAAAGGAAATATCTGAGTGTCACAGTGGAAACAGTGATGATCTTAGTGACCCACTGAAAGCATGCTGAGGACTGTGGAAGGTCTGTAGGCTATACGAAAAGTGTGTTACCATGTATTAAGTGCAACCAACCACCATTCAAATTCTAGATGACAGTCACCATTTAGAAGTGATTGCTAGGGCTGGAGAGATGGTATAGAGGGTAAGGCTTTGCGCACCGCTAACCCCTGTTTAATCTCTGGTACCACCTATGATCCCCTAAGCAACACCAAGGAAGAATTTTTTCCTACATTCATCCATTTATGCCCCACTTATTGGGCCTATTCATGTAAGGCACTTGCTTTAGTAATGGAGATAAAACACGTCAGGTGGACAGAAACCCAGGTCACGGCCACAGAGTGAAACAATCAGGAAGAGGGTGGAGACACTAAAGCCACCCTCATCGGGTATGAGGCCCCAGGGCCCCAGCTTTTCAGCCTGTCCTCAGTAATGTCTGAGTCTGCTTCCTGGGTTGAGTATGTGGCAAATTCCACGTAACACTGCAAGGACCATTAGTGTAGCACCCAGCCCACAGCTAGGGCTCAGGCTCATCAATGGAAGGTCCCCTCTGCATATGTTTCCCTGGAGGCAGTCAGAGTCAGGAGAGAACTAGACACACTACTGTTTACCTGGAACTCAGCCCCAGAACTGAACTGCAATGGGAGTCAAACAGAAATCAATGACCTGCTTCAGGGAGGAAGGTGCTAGGATAAAGGCACCTCCATGTCAAAGGAAGGAGGAGTTGGACGGGTGGAAGAGTGGAAGAAGAGAAATGGGGATGCTGTATGGGCACACACACACAAACATACATGCACACACTCATACACACACATACATCTTCATATGCACTCTCACATATATACATAAATACACACTTGCACACATAAACACCTGTTTTCACTCTATCGTGCACGCACGCACACACACACACACACACACACACACACACAAACAGAGTCTGGTGTGCTCCAATGTCACTGTCAGAAATACTAGGTCGAAGCCTGCCTAGGGGAGGAAGGATTGCAAAGCTCCTCTCACAGGTGCAGCTGGTGTTCTGCACTTTATTCTCTTATACCATGAGAAGGATGAGGCTTCCTCTTTAGCCTAGCCTCACATTAGGTTCCATGTTCTAACAGAATTCACAGATCGCTTTACTTAATGCAGTGAATATAAGTAGAAAGTGTCCATGGTGCCCAGCTTCCGTGATGTCACCAACTGGGAAGCCTCCTGACATTGCCTGCATGAGCCCCGAAGCCCAGAGGACACCTGTGTCCCCTGCTCTTTGGCATGGGCAACAACTGCCCTCAGGATGCACCATGTGTCTGGAGCACAAGTCCAGCATGAGGCTGTCCTGGAGGGCACCTGTGAACCCCAGGCCATCTGGCAGATGCACCCCAAACCCTCCCAAATCCCAGCGGTGTCTTTCTTACTCACCCAGAATTTTACGAGGAAGAAGGCATTTTGAGGGCCCTTTCCAAACAGTTCCTTTAAGCCACCTTTCTTTTCAGGAAATTTGTCATAAATCTGACGAATGTCCACTGATTCAAGCAATGGGTCGCTGTATGAATGGTTGGCATGGCCAATGTGCACGAAGAGGTGTTTGTTGTACTGTAAGAGACCAAGAGACATTCCCATTACAAACCCGACGTGAATCTGACCATCAGCCAGATGAGGAGCAGGAGGTTGGGATCCTGGAATCAAGCTGTGAGCAGTCTATCGTTTGCGCCTTGGAGACAATGAAGAAGTTAAGGAAAACTAAGATAAATAAGAGCTAAAGAAAAATCACCAAATTCTATTGACAAGTGTATTTATTTTCCCAATGGCCTAAAATAAGACTTTTTGCAGAACTGTGGCAAACGGCTAAGGTTACCCCAGCAGATAATTCTATCTCTAGTGTACTCAGCTCAATGACAATGAGAGTGAGACCATTTGGAGCCCACCATAGAGTGTAGAGCCCTCTGTATACTGGGTATACTTCAACGGGGGAGGGGAGCATGGGGTGGTACTCCACTATTTCACTTGTAGCCCCAGCGAGTTCATGAGGTGGCCTGTCTTATTTTTGTGTGGTTGGGTTTTTTTTTTTTGGTTGTTATTTTGCAACACCAGGGATTGAACCCAGGGTCGCATTCATGCATGGCAAGAGCTCTCCCATTGAGCTCCTTCCCTAGCTCCTGTTGGGCGATGGGAGGTTTGTATCTCACATCATGTTTTTTTTAGTCAGAACCACACGAAAGCCCACAGAAACGGGTGTGAGGCACCATTGCTGAGGAACTTCTAGTGCCAGTTGTAAATAAAAAGTGAGGGGGAAAAAAACCAAACCCAAACAAAACACAAGAAAAAAAACAGGTGAGGTTGGGGACAGAGAACCAGGGAAGAAGGCAATCAGGGATCAGATGAGGCGTGTGTGACTTGCCACGGGCTTCTGTGTTCATTCTCTGGGTGCCCAGCGTTCCAGGGGCTGAGGGCCAAGGTGTTGCTCACTGCTGAGCCAGCCTGGTCATCTGTGTCCAGCCATTCAACCACCCTACCACTCTGACCCGCAGTGACTCCCAGTCCCACCTACCTTGGGTGATGCCCTTCCTGTCTTTTCTGGTGCTGCCTGGAGGCAGTGAGCAGATAGGAAAGAATGGACAGAGTCTGTGGGGTTGGGGGGGGTGGGTGGGGAGGGCCCGGGGTGTACCTGCACACTGAATAAGTCTCTTTGCACTGCTCTCTCCAGCATTCTGTCCTGTGGGGCACCCACGGGACAGGGCAGAACCTGGGCCAAGTTAAGACGCGGTGAGACTTGGGATCCTGAGAGACAGTGCAGTAGGTAAGTTGCTTGCCTTGCATGTAGCCAACCAGGGTTCAATGTCTGCTATCCCATATGTTTCCCTGAGCCTTCCCAGGAGTGATCCCTGAGCACAGAGATGGCAGTAAGAATTAAGCACAGCTGGGTGCTATGTCTCCCAAAAGAAAAAGCCCCCTGACTACCCTCCTCCTAAAAAGATGAAGTTGTGAGACTTGGAATTCCTTTTGTTCTCTATGTGGAAAGGCCCCTACAATGTGTTACTGGAACTTGGGAACCACAGTCTAGACTTCTACATGTCAAGATGTCAGGAAATTCAGTGGATATAAAACTGCTGAGTCTTCAACAAGGGCCATGAAGATACAACTGTAAAGCTGAAAAGCAAAGTGTTGAGTACAATGCACCAAAAACTGCAGTCAGAGAAGAACCTAAAGTCTCAGCGTGTGTACACACACACACACACACACACACACACACACACACACCCCTACCTCCTGGGAAACAGAACACGAGTAACACAGCAACACAGTTGAAGATTCATAAAGTAGGGTTAGCACTAGGGTCTGCCAGGAAAGATGTGACTGACACACCATAGCTGCTGAGCTGCTATTGATAGTGTTCCCTATCCTGGGAGATTAACTAGATCTTGGGGTAGAAGTTGAAAAACTTTCCTGCGTTAGCCTTCCTGTCAAACAAAGAATAAGTCAACACAAGTAAGCCAAGAGTGGAGAGCAAGTGGTGAAGTTATGTGACCATTTATAGCCCTGAAGATGGTCCACTCCTGACAGGCTCTGTGTGTGTGTGTTGTTGTGTGTGTGTGTGTGTGTGTGTGTGTGTGTGTGTGTGTGTGTGTGTGTGTCCCTGCATGCGTGTGGGGGGAGGAAGGCGCAGCAGCTGTTCACCTGAAGAGCGTGATGAGCTCAAGTCCAGTTTGGGCTGTGTGCATTTCTATATGTGACCACAGGGAACTCCTGCCTCACAGCAAGGTGGAAGGTGAATTTTTCTGAAGTCATTTTACAGATGAAAAAACTGAAGCTCGGCAATGAGTGAACTTGCCTGAGGTCACACACCCAGGAACAGTCCTGGAGTTCAGAATAAAACGTGGTTCATGTCACTGCGGCGGCCCGTGCATTTGCTGCAAACATCAACCACACTGTCTCCCAGGAGAAAATGTCTAGACACTGTTGCTCCTGCAGCTCTACTTTTCCTGAAAGTTGATTTGGGGTGGGGGTGAGGGATGGGGCAGTTAAATAGTATTTTCAATATTCTGAGACATTAAATTAGAATTCAGAACAGACATAATGATTCACAGATGTGCCGGACAGAGTCTTTCAAAGTTTCTATTTTGAGGAAGCTACCTTGGTGCCCGGGGCTGAGATGGGCTGAGGAAGGGCAGGCTGTCTCTGCCCCAGGGGAGCAGAAACTGCCTCTTCCAGGCTGCTGACTTGAAACCCAACCCTGATGACTGGCAGCCTGTGGCTTCACCCCTGCCAAGAGGTGACTCTGTTTCTAAGTATACAAAGGCTAAATGAAGGTGTCCTGGACGCTACAGCACTGGGACAAATAGACCTTCTCTCCCCTTAATTCAACTGAACTAGGTCAGGAGACCCTCTGCCCAATCCAGGGGCAGAAGAAAACATCTACTGCATACATTTTTTTTTGTTTGTTTTTATTTTATGGGTCACTTCTGGCAGTGCTCAGGGGTTACTCCTGACTGTGTTCGGGAATCACTCCTGGTGGTTCTTGGGGGACCATATGGATGCTGAGGATCAAACCAGGTCAGCTGCATACGAGGCAAGCACCCCATCCACTGTACCATCATTTCATCCCCCCCATCTACCAGATAAACTTGGATTCACACTTTAGTGAAACCAAAACTCTGAAAACTTTCTGGTGAGATTACTTCCTTATCTTGCCAGTCTCCTTAAAAGATAGGGGTGGGAATGGTCTGCCAATGGTCATTTGGACTTAAAATATCATCCAGGGAGATGGGAAGTGGGCAGCTGATGCACACACCTGTCTATCCTGTCCTGCACCTGGGTGAGACCTTATGATTTTCAGGTCCTCAACTGGCCATGGGCCAGGATACTTTCCACCCCTCTTTAAACAGAGAAGATAAGGGTAAGACTTTCCTTCCTCTCTCCCAGTTCTTCCCAGCGGTGTTGATTTCCCAAAACTATAAGGGGAATACAAAACCCAAAAAGGGCAACTCTATTGTGTAAGTAGATAACTATGTTAGTGAAAGCCTTATGTTTGGAGGGCACAGACACACATACACACACACGCGCGTGCATGCACACAGAAATGGGGTGATTGGTAATCAGTCCATGCCTGCCAAAGTCTTAAGAATGTATTTTCACAATATTTGAAACAGAGGTTAACATTAGCTTGTTCAATTACACAAAGTACCGGATCACCAACTCATCGATGACAAGAAGAGGAAGGGTGCTCACACTGCCAATTTCTCCTATGGGGTCCAGGAGAAGCCAGCACCCCAAGGTGCATGGTATGCCAGTCACGGTGCTTGGCACAGGGACTCCATGCACTAGGAAGCTGGGACATTTCTCTAGAAGAATGGGATTAAGGCAGCCACACCTCTCCTCCTGCACATCCCATGGTCTAAGTTGGCATGACCCTGCTCTTTTCACAGAGGTGGGCTTATGCTCCAGCAATTCCCACTTGGAAGAAGAACACGTGTGGAATTCTCCTTGACAAGAGGAATGAAGTTTCACAAGTCTCAGGCAAAAACCATGAAGCAGAGCGAGTTGTCTGTCACTCATGAAGAGCAGAAAAGACTCTCTGATAGAGAAGGGTGCAGAAGATGGGCCTTTCTGTGACCCTCCGTAGTGATGAGAGGAGGACGTGTTCTTGGGAATGAGGGAGCTGGGAGCTCTACCTGGGAAGAGGGATAAAGGAAGGAGCTGAGTACAGCCAGGCCAGAAGGACAAGGATCTGAAAGAACTTGGCCTGGAAGAGTCCCCAGCTGACATGACTATCCACAGAAGAGCTTGAGCGTTCTGAGACAGTGTGGGAGCAAGGTGGTGGTATGTGAGTCCTGAACAAGAGGCAAGGACACACCCTGGAAAAAAGTAGTTCACTGTCAACACAGGTTCTTACAGAACACATGTCAACTATAGTACGTGCACAATTCACACAGGTCTGTGACACAGACGGGACAATTAGTGACAGGATCACATGGTGGGAGGGGGAGCCAGAAAAGGCGTGAGAAAGTCGAGTCCCGATTTCAGACAGGAACTGTCTAAAGTTGATGGCTGCTGCTACCTGGGCATGTGACTGAGGAAGAGGGAAATCAGAGATGAAGATATGGCTGGCAGGGCTGTAGGCAGCTGTCTCAAAGGGATATGACTGGGATGTGGGGGAATTGGGGTTCCCCACTGTGCTTCAATGGCTTTACACAAAGCCAGTGTACTAATTTCTTAACTGAAAAATCAAAAATGATATAAAAACACCATGGAGGCTTTGATTTTTGAAAGGCAAGCATTATAAAGGAAAAGAATATCAAGAGTCATACATTTTTTTTTCTTTTTTGGACCATATCCAGCTGTGCTTAAAGCTCTGCACTCAAGCATCACTCCTGCCTGGCAGGGCCTCAGAGAGCATATGAGGAGCTGTGGGTCAGACATGGGTCAGTCCCTTGAAAGCCAAGTGCCCTGTGCATTGTACTATCCTTCCGGCCCCTTGTCGTAGTCTATGTTATTTATTATGGTTGTTGGCCACAAGTTCCCAGGATCCTAAAGGCCAGAACAGAGTCTTCTCAGCTTCCACTCCATAGGGGACTGGGTATCAGGGAGTGCCTAAG